CTTCGACCTGAATAATCAGGGGTTAGGATTTGCACCCGGTCGAAAGAAACCTTGCTATCGCAAGAGTAACTCCAGCTAGCTTCGCTAGCTTTCGTGACAAGACAGGGGAACCCGACAAACCAACTAAAGGAACACCAGTCATAAACTGAACCTGTGGCCACGCCCTTCGGAGAAGTGGGGCTCAGGCTTAGATGAACCTAGGGGCGCCCCAAGCTTTGAATACTACTGACTCTTACGCAAAACAAACTCAGCGAAGATTTGCTGATTGCCTGTTCCCAACTTCCAGCCATGCCGCAATTATATCGACGTGTTCGCCTGGGCAACTTGGAACTGTTCAAACACTCCAACTATGCGTCGCTAAAGCCCCAATGCAACCCCAACCCATGTGAATGTAAAGGGAGCTGGGAGGAGGAATTGCGGAACAAAAACGGGAGCAGGAACTGAGGTCCAGGACTCCAGAAGTGCAGGAGCTGGGGAGCAGGCAAGAAGAAAGCACATCAATCAGAACTACAAAAAAGTTCTTCCGAGCGCAAAGGCATGTTGCTAGGTACGTACAAACACCTGCCGCACTATTGGTCTTACTAAGTGCGTAGAAAGAATTAAATGTAGCAGTAACAGGAACAAACATCACACCACAAGTGCAAAAGCACGGAAACATCCTGCTAGGTATGTGCAACTGCCTGTCGCCTTGCTGAACACAAAACTTGTCTTGCGCGGCGAAGGCTAAAGGCATTGCAATGGAGCCAAAAGGCACACCACAAGTGTATACATATTTATATATAATATGTGTATATAAGTTTCTTGCCGGTGCAGAAACACCCTACTAAGTACATGCATATATGTGTGTGGCGTTGCTGCGCATAGAATAATTTCATTGTGTGTGGAAAGGATGCTTCTATTCTTAACAAGGGCAGGAGGCACATCACAAGTGGAAAACCTGTTGCCGGCGCAGCAACGTCCTGCTTGGTACGCGCAACCCTTAAGATCACTTGAGTTTAAATTTAGTACTTGACTAAGTGTACTCTTTTTTGCGATTTAGTCTTTAGTCGGACTGGTAATTTTGTCCTAGGCTCTGGACTAAATGGAGTTTATATAGTCCAGAGACTAAATGACCATTTAGCCCCCGGATTGACTAAATGAAATTTAGCCATCGGACTAAATGCATATTCAATCCATGGAACAATTTGTGTCCACGAAGTTCTTTGATAGTTTTCAAAGGCTTGATAGCGTTTTCTGTTTTCCCAACAAATGAATGTGTATGTTTGAACATCATTGCGGGAATGCTGCCCGACTGCATCGCCCGTGTGTATGTATTCTTGAGACAAACCAACTACACCAAATGCTGACCAACTGCATCACCCACAGCGGTGATGGCAACAGCAGTGACAGAACAGCGACAATCTTGACAACAAACAACAAACAACAGCCGCCGCAAAACTGTGGTAGCAATCGCATGGTGGTGAACGTGATGTGGCAGTGAGGATCGGTTTTTTTTGTGTTCTTGCCAAGTTCTACACGCCTTTGCGTCGGTTCTTGCAATGTTACTCTTGAATGTTCTTGCGTTGCGCAACTGATAGGTTTGTTCCCAGATGTGTCTTTGCGTGACTGCGAGAACGCACAAGAACAAAACTCGAAGACTGCCGACTGCTAGACCCCAATACCTCAGCTCAAGGCTTGCTTACAGAGCATGGTCATGTCTACATTACATACTGCCTCTCAACATGTAACCAGCGCATTCTGTCTCATCGCTTGGGCCTCCCGCGGTCGAACCCACTCAGTGGGCCAGTTGTTCCAGTACAGTATAGGGCAAAGTTTGATCAAGTTTCGGATGGTTTGGGCGGGAACATGGTTTTTGCATGTTTTTGGTACCACCGCCTCTTGTGGCCCACATACCACCATATCGCACACCTTTCCAAACCAAACAAAACAATGCACTTTTCAGGTCGCAAGTCTCAATTGGGCTGCCTTACAGCAGCGGTCACAAACTAATGGAAGATTTTGCTCTGCGCTCTGTATGTCTGTATGATACAGCAAATTTCCACAACGATTCAGGACATGCAACAGGTCTTCAGTGACGATCTGCGAGTTGGCCAACGAACAAAGAACTCAACAAAGAAACAGTATCCTCGGCCATCGAAGTCGTCTCAACCAGGCGATTCTCGTTGTCCAGGCGTGCTAATCGAAGTTCATCCACCTCTGCGTGCAGCTTCTTCGCTTCAGCATGCAGTCCTTCTCGCTCCTGCGACGGCATGCCAAGGCTACTTGCGCTATAACAAAGCAGCATGTATGTAATATAACTATGCTATGCACATATATATATATAATATATATATCTGCTAAATCAACCCTGCACTCTATGCGGACATGAGGGCTATTGGGGTAGGGCCAAGCAACACATTGAAATACAATAGAAAGGTCCCCATGAGTAAAACAAGACTCTGGGGAAGCAGCAAAGACAAAAATTTGGTTTGGAAGTTGTTATGAAATCAACATAATTCGCTCAAGTGTGCATTTGTTAGACAACAAAGACAAAAACACAGCAAAGCAGCGTGCTGTGGGGTTACCACTTTTTTGACTTCAGGCTTCAAGACACTTCTGGCACTCTCAAGAAAAAAACATGGAAAGACTGTAGAACGAGCATCTGTCCTGAACCATAG